CACAGCTCGGCGTGTTTGAGCCACCAGCCTGTCCACCTGCCTGTCCGGAATTTGGATCACGATCAGCCCCAGCCGCCTCGACCTTTCTGAAGCTTCTCCCCACGGATCCTCACCCCTCCCTCCGGTTCCCTCGGCCCCGCTATCATCGTAAGACGCGTACTCTACTTCCCCTCGTATACTGCCGTTTTTCCCGCACCCCAATAATCCTTTTTCCCTTTTTCTGTTTCAGCCTCCCACAGTCCCGCTCTCGGCGTTCCTGCGTGATTCACCTCCCGGTCCCTCGGTTTTTCTGGTTCCGTGCGTTTTTTCCTTCTACCCTCCCGGGACACCCTCAGTTATAATAAAGTTTATTTTTGTTCTCTCGTACCGCTGTGTGTGTGTTCTGCTCCTGGGTCCAACTTGTGCGTGGAACTTCGGTTCATGACAATAACTAATTAAAGTATTTGAAACTCACTGATTAAACTTTGTTTCTCATACTCGTTGACACTAGTAATACCTGCTTTGGTTTTTTTTTTTTTTTTTTTGGCCTTTTAACTGGCTTTATTAATAGAAACAGAGAAGATTGACAGGAAAGCGTAGAGAAAGAAAGAGGGGAAGATGTGCAGCAAAGAGCCACTGGTCGGACTTGAACCAGGGCCGGCTGCTTTCAGCCATGCGGTATATAGGCACCTGCTCATAACTGAGCTGAATCCAGCGCCCAAAGCCATCTTCTTTAGCTAATTATTAATATCATCAATGCACAGTAATAGTTAACTATCCACTGCAATGCAATTGTTCCAGTAGTAGGTTATAAATGAGGAATGTGGATTATGTAACAGGTGACATCTTATAAAAGCAGCATGATTTAGCATAATTTTGATGTAATAAATATGGCTGTGTGCATAGACGGGCATAAAAACCGAAGGATTGTGTGAAAGCCTAAGTATTTTATAATTTGCTAACACAGAGACAGATTTAAAAAAAATGATCTTGAGCAGTAATCCTGCAAGCTTTGTGATAGTCTTTCAAAGTTTTTCTTCAGACAATGGCTGCTTTTTCACTTCTTTTCAATCCAGTCCTCGTGCCTGGCCATTTTCAGCCATATGTTTGTTTGTTAAGCCACTTCCATGAAATATGTTGTTCCCATTTAGTTAAATATATTATACATGAGTTAAAAAGGCATAAAATATCATTTTTGCACCATGAATGTGAATCCCAAACAGCTACAGTATTAGCTGAAAACGTGACATGACATGCATGAATGGTGTGCAGTGTGTTCTTAAAAAATTTGAGGAATCTGGACAATGAGAACAGCAGATGAACAGTATCTGTTCTCACAGAAATAGAAAAAAAATACAGCCATGACACAGAGCCAAAGAGATCCATTTGGCCTTTCAGTTGATCCATCTACTGTTTGTGGCTGAATGGCTGTCAAGGAGTCATTCTGAAGTCTTTATTTTAGAAGCGAGACAAAATTTTAGAGAAAAAATTCAAACAGTTCTGGAAAGAAGAGAAGGCTAGCTTTATGGGGATATTTAGTGTATCATGGTAGCACAGGGTATTCACAAGGTACTACCGTCTTAAAATGGACAGAAAGAAACGAGCTCTGCCCATATTTTACCATGTGCTCTACATATTACCATACTCCTTAACCATTTTGTGCTAGAGAAATATTTAAAATGGTTCCTCAAGGATGAGAATTTTCTTTCTTTTTGCATTTTACAACCAAAATCCAAAGCAAAGTTTCTTGTTGTTGAAGAAATTTGCAATTCTATGTAAGCAGTTTAGATATTAAACATGTCATACCTCCTGTTTACAGTAAATAGCTGCAAAGCACACTTCATTAAAACTTTAGAGCGAAGTCAAATTAAGAAACAAAAGGAGGCTCTTTCTATGGATGTTCTCACTATTTGCTCTCTTTTCCCTCTGAATTTTAAGCCTTAAGGAGTCACTATGTATCTGCGATTACTATTTGAGCTGCAGCTCTGAGGTGCTGACCTCATGCTGCCTCCATTCTCTGTGTTACTCACATTTGTGTCTGTCCCCAGGGCTCTTCGTCTAAAGAGCCTCGACTGAAGAGGCAGGCGGGCCAAGCACAGTATGGCGGGGTTAGACCTGCCCTGGAGAAATCTTTACAGCGACCTGATTTCACTCAGTTGCTCCCCTTATTCCCCAGATCTCACGCTCATATTCACCTGATCCTGTGTCAGAGCCATTTTGGGTGGAAAAACTTCTTTAACAACAGTTAAACTAGAGCAAGATTTCAGAATCCGGTGATTGTTCATGCGCTGCAGCCACAGTCCTTGTCCCCGAGATCTTCGTTTCTGTTTAATCTAGCACATAATTTCATTCATTGTTCGAAATCTTTCGTAATGTCTGAGAGATCTGATCGTGACATTTTCAGGAATCTCCCTCAAAATTGCACATTTTCAGTATCAGCCCAAAAGCAATGTGTTGAAAAGAATCTCTCATCCTAGCTTGTTACATGTATCTCACAGGGATCTGAATTAATATTAGCGATTGGTCCCCAAGTCACGTTCATCCCCATCTTTTCACTCTAGCATCTGGATTTAATTGGTGCTACGCCGTAAAGCCACAGCTGCTCTTCCTGTTAGAACAATAAATTATCCCAATTAGGAGTTGAACAAAAGAGGCTGTCTGACACAGCAGCCCACTGCCATGCCTAGAGATTGGACTGCGATGGAATGAGGCTTCTCGCTGACATGAAGCCGCACCAAAACACCTGCCCCATCATCTCTCTGATCAAAATACAGTTCCAGTCCAGGGAATATATAGAACAGGAAGAGACTGCTTTGCATGACTTGCAAACATGAGAGCTTCTTGTATATAAATTAAACAGAAAAAGAATCACTGTGTTCGAAATTAGTGAAAGGTATATTGTGTAATTGCTGGGCGGATGATTAATTGGTGTTTGGATGATGGGTTGTGGATACAGCCGGGTTTTCTGGCAGCTGCCTTCCATATCGATGGCACCAGTAATGAAGGCAATATTGACATAGGGTTCAGAAAGATGTGGAATGGGAGGAACAATAGGAGCATCTGTGCCTCTCAGTAGTTACGAGTATAATTGAGACCATATTTTAGCTTGCTCTTTGAAAACTAGCCTTACTGTATTTCCCTTCTCCTTCCCTGACAGACGAGACATATTTATTTGCCACTGTGTCACGTTCAGGAGCTTTAGCAACTCAGGCGATCTACCGTTTAAAAGAATGTAGGCTATCCACCACTACGATGGCGGCCTGTGTTGTGATTGACACTACTTCCACATCCTGGCCTGGCCACACCATCTCTTTGTCTCACCACTTGCTGTGAACATGCCATTAAGCCAGTCAAAGTTTGACAAGAAAAATGAAGTGTGCCGGTTCCTGTGGCCTCGAGTGTCTCTCTGAATAATGAGCACATTGCCTGTACCCCCCTGTCTCCACTCCTTGCCATCAGTTTTACTCTTCCCCTTGAAGTTCTAGTCTGCTGAGAGAGTGAAGGGGTCTTTAGGTTGTCGCGTGTCCAGGAAAAAAAATGTGGTCATGCAAATCTGTCAAACTAAATCTGTAAAACCCAGAAAAGAAGCGTATGATGAATGAAGTATATTTTTATTGATATAATTCCCCCATTTCATTTCACGGCATTAGGACGGGGAGTGCTGTTTCGTAGGAGCTGTCCAATATGAGGGAGCGTCATAAGATGTCGCAAACAGCTGCAATTTTGCGAGCCAAATTAGCTGGCACTGTTTTCCTTGTTGACTTTATTTCACTGCTTTTTAAAGCACAACAAACGGCTGAGCAGCGCTGCTGGATCATAGCATCATAGCTGCCTTGCACAGCAAATACTGAGAAGAAAGGGCAGCTCCACTGCTACTTCCTTACCCAGCCTTATTTCTCCCAATTACCAGCGTGTGAGCAAACAGTATGACATGACTGACCTCCTCTCAGAGAGCTGTGGTCATGACTGCGAGGCTCTCTCAGCTTATTATGACAGAAGTGTTATGGTAATAGAAGGAAAGTCTGTGCCGTGGCGATAGCACCTCAGGAGCGGATAGCCTATTATCCTCCACTGTGTAGTGGTAGTAATGGTGAGACAGAGGGCATCCTATCTGTTATGGTGATGATGCATTTTGAATGGGTAGTGCCTATTATATATCAGTGGATGATAATGCCAGGAAAGAGCATCCTCTGGGTATGGTCATGATGCCAAGAAATGGGTGAAAGGGTCTGAACAGAATATACAATGTGCCATATCAGGTTTATGGTGATAGATTAAAGAGAATGGCAGGATCTTTTTTTTTTTTTTGAGTTATGAAAATTGGAGGCTAGCCCTTGTGTTCAAAGAGCATGAATATCCAGGGAAAGGAAGACAATGAGGAGCATGTGTGTACGTGTGCATACGACAAACAAGAGCCACGCAGTCAAAGGAGAATCTTAGTTAGCTGTCTGCTTGGCGCTTCGCCGCCCCTGTGATGTATGTTTATGGCCCATCATCTCTAGCCAATTACCCTGCCTCAGTGTGGGAGCACTGCACCTTCTCATCACAGCCGTCAGTGTCTGAGTGTGGAGAGAGACGGTGACAGTTAACGTTCCTGGACATCTCCTGGCAAAGTGCTGTTTTCCTTAGGGGACTCTTGAGATTCATCTTTAAAAGTAAGCCACTGGGTAACAGAGTGTGTTGAGCCTTATAGCTGCTTTGGGAATTGAATGCTTGTTTATTGTATGTATGTTTGTGTGTGCATATGTGCGTGTGTGTGTGTGTGTGTGGACGGTGGGTGGGGGGTGCTAACGCATGTGTCTGTAGGTGTGCATGAGTGCTGTGTGGGTGCTGTAAGTTGGAACAGTATCTCTGTAAACTTTGTAAATCTCATGTTTCCCACGCACTCCTGTTTCCATCATTATGGCATTATAGGATATGTGGATAACTCACTGCTCTCTATATTGATGTGTGCATAAGGCTACATGCTATAAATGATGTGTGAAATAACCTTGGCATTTTGGTTGTCTTTGTTTTTCCAGATATAGCTGAGGTAGACGTGCTCATGTATCCCGTCCATGTCAACCTGCAGACTTTCTCCTACAGACACATCTGACTTTTACAAGGTGCGTTTAAATGCCTTTTTTGTTTTTGCATGTGTGTCGCAAATCTGCAGTGTGCTTGTGTCTAGTCAAAGTAAATGTAAATCCCCTGCAGAGCAGTGACATTAGAAAAGGTAAAGCAAATCAGACTCGCAGCTCAGGAGCAATGAAGGCTAATTTAGTTTTAGGAGAAATCGGAAACATTTTTGGGAGTGCTTAAACTTTGTTTCGATGATTCCTTTGTAAAACTGAGAATGCACAGTGACAAGAAAAGGATTTGCAACGATAATATTTATTTATTTATTTTTGGCTCCATATTCATACTGTGTGACAGATTGAAGCTGCAAAGCTGTGTTTGCGTTGGCTAGACTAAGGAGCGCTTCTGCCCAGAGGGTTTATCAGGGAGAGAAAATATTGACCGCGAACAGTTGCACTTTGGTGGTGTTATTGCTTTTCACACTTGTGTGATACAGACAGCAGTCGCCAAGTACAACAATTGTAAACCCGCAGCCATATCGACGGTCGCATTGCTCTTCTGTACAGGACAACATATTCCACTTGTGGTGTTTACATTTTAGTTTATTTCACTGGAGTGCTTTTTGCAGATAGATGGTGTAAGATTACAGGAACCTGGTAAAAAGAAAAGGAAGTACTTATTGTTTAGGTGAAATGCAAAAACCCAAAGTGGCCTCTTAATTTGATTCTGAAATATGAATGCAAAACAACGTGACAAAACAAATTTGTGTTTGTGCACATGTGGTGTGATTTTTCATTAATATATACTGGGATTTCACTTGTTAAATCAGCTTTGTTTACTTTCTTCTTCTTATTATTATTCCTTACTGGCTAGTGCACAATTGAAGTTTATCACCTCAGTTTTAGAGTAGCATCGAGCTATTAGCTATCTCCACAGGTGTGCATGATTCTCTGAATGAGATACTGATGTTACTATGATTATATGACACTGATAAGTTTATTGGTACTGTAACAATGTGTACTCTACAATAAAAAAGCCAAACTGTTGCACCTAATTCTTGTCTTTTTGAGTGATATAATAACCGATATATGTACATATGCTATTACTAAATCTGAGAACCATTTAATGCCAAAAATTCATTAAACAAAGGCATTTTAACCCATTAATCATTCTTTAATTCTTTGTTATTAATTCTTTAATAACAAATCATGCTTCTTAATTGTGTGGCACTTAACATGCAGTATCAACATTGCTCGTTATATTTCAGAAAATGAAAAGCAAATTTAAATAGACAGATGTTAAATATGATATGAAAACGAGTTACCACAAAATTTAGCATATTGTAAAATTAAAAAAAAGTATTATAAAATCTGACAAATTACTTTCCAAAAAACTAAAGAAGGATCTCCTAACCACTTACTCAAGCTTATCTGGGGAAATGTTGAGCCAGTGGGGCCAGAGTCTACCATGGGTCCTGCTACCAGTAGGACACGCCCAGTAAGAACACCTTACCCAGGAGAAGGCCACTTCGGCTGCCTCCTTTCGATGTGTAGCAGCGGCTCTACTCTGTGCCCCACCCAACCGACTGAACTCCTCTCTCTATCGCTAATGGAAAGCCCATCCACCTTTCAGATAAAGCTCGTTTATGATGGTTGTCTCCGAAATCTAATGTTTAGCCTTTAATTGAAGTAGTGATAATAGTGTTAACAAAAAGGCCCCGTTGAGATTAAAGGATTCATGGCGTTTCTCACCAGTGATGCTCCATCTGGTGGCAGATGGCTGCATAAGATGAGAACACAATTCTTTACCTGCCTTGGGTATCAATAAAAATGCAAAACAATTAGATTAAACGACTAGTATGTCTCGTACCAACTACAATATATATAAAAACACCCAGCACGCCCCTGCGGGCGGTTTATCCTTCAAGCTCGGGTCCTCTACCAGAGGCCTGGGAGCTTGAGGGTC